GTGCATGGTATAGATATGTGGTGGGGTGGTCTATCTATCCCTTGTGCTTGTGCATGGTATAGATATGTGGTGGTGTGTCTATCTACCCCTTGTGCTTGTGCATGGTATAGATATGGGGTGGTGTGTCTATTTGTCCCTTGTGCTTGTGCATGGGTATGTGGTGGTGTGTCTATCTATCCCTTGTGCTTGTGCATGGTATGGATATGTGGTAGTGTAGGGTTTTTATCTATCCCTTGGTCGCTGTAGATAGATCGCCTTGTCTGGCCCAGTTGCCGGGCGGAATAAGTGGACATGCACGTACATGTACACAGTTGTACGCAATCCCTACAGTCAGAGGCAACTCTCTTTATAGTCACCACACGCATACAGAGAAAACCCCACACGAGCAAACGAACGCACAGATGATCTCCAAGCACACACGCAGTCGTTTAGGTATACACATGGAGGTGAAGGAAGACGTGTATAGGCGAGGTGACATATCCCATCGACCTTGAGGTCGTAATAAGATGGTATACGTGATATATGATTGTAGCAATAGATACACTTATAGACTGCACAGATAAGGGTAACGTATGAATATGGCTGGGACAAGGCGACTGTCCATCGGATGGTTCACACAGACACACAGACACACACACATACGTGATTGCGAGAAAATAAGCAGCATTCACGATTACACCTATATACATACAATAGTACATCTATGCTTATATACAGACACTATTACACTCTGCCTACAATGTATGCCTTGTGTATTACGTGTATGCTTAGTATATTATGTGTATGGATAGTATATTGCGTGTATGTATAGCATATTGCGTGAGTATATATACATACACTAATACACCTGTGCATATATATATATACACTATTACACCTGTGCATATATACATACACTATTACACCTGTACTTATATACATACACTATTACACCTGTGCCTATATACATACACTATTACACCTGTGCCTATACACATACTCATACTCACGCACATACTTTGTGGTAGGTAAATCCAATGTTTTCAGCTGCGCGAACACAGAGTGAGTGAAGTGTTCTGGTTGTACTCCGGCCGGGAATTGATAGAACAATATCTCATTCGACAGCAGAACCCTCTCTGTCACAAGCGATTTGATGCCGTCGACAGTCCCTTTATCCTCCTTCCCTATAGAAATAGAAGCACAAATACAAACACACGTCACGTGTATGGGGCTAGGGTTGAGAGAGGGGTGGTGAAAGCTGGCGGACTCTGACGGCGGAACTCTATGATTATACGTTGAAACTACCCATGTATAATCGTATATATATATATATACATACATACATATATACATACATACAGATATACGCATATAAATCTATATATATATATATACGTCCTTGCATACATACATATACATTAAATAAAAAATAAATAAATACATATATATGTATAAATCAATAGATATGTAAATAAATAAATAGTTACTATATATATATATATATATATATATGAACACATAATAAAATATTCATACAAACATTCACATACATACGTAGATATACATTTATATCCACATAGATACAAATATGAATATAAGAATATAAAAATATAGTAATATATATATATATATATAACGCAAAATAAAATAATATACATACGCACACACACACACACATATATATATACAAAGACACACACACACACACACACAAACACAAACACACACACACACACAAACACACACACACACACAATAAAACACACACACTCAAACACACATACATATATATAATATGCATCTATCTAATTGTAACTGTATAATTGCAAAAACAAATCAAAGGTGTATACAGACACGCATACACAAATAAACATATACATACAAACACACACACACACACATATTGTATATATATATATATAAATATAAATATCGATATAATGCATACAATTGTTTGCCATTTTTATAGTAGATATACTTTCTTCAGACAGCACGTAGACCTGCGACTATACATGCGTTCATTTCAGAATATCAACGGAAACAAACTGTCTAGTACATACATAATAACCGTAAATCCCACATATTACAGGTTGCGTACACACATACACTCTTTCCTAGCTGAAGCAATCTCAGCTGCTAACTCTTCTTCCAATGTCAACTCTTCGGGTTCGTCCGTTTTTGGATCGCAGTTGCTATCAGCGGCATCGACACTTTCTGGCGCACTCGGATCACAGAACTTGTTCGGGTATATTTTTCTTAAGGCCTGTTGAGCATGTGATACATTTTCCGACAATTACGAACTAGGTATATTTTGTGCAGAGAAAACTAAGA